GGGGGGGCTGCGGCGGGGCCCGAGAAAGCGACATCAGCTTTTGGCCCCGCCGCTGCCGGGTCGGGCGGCGGCGCGGGGTACACGGATATGAGGCCCCCGTCGAACCCGAGCGCGAGCTCGGCAAACGCGCGCTTGAGCGCGCGCGTGGTGGCGCGTGGGTTGGCGCCGAGGTCTGCGCCGGCGAGGCGGACGCCCAGCGTTAGGTTTGCGCTCATGGCCACCTCCACCTGGCTGGGGTCTATGCCGGCGGCCTTGGCGATCAGGGCGCTGCACGAGGCGGGTGAGGGGAGGGGGAGGGACAGGGGGGAGCGTGAGGGTCGCCCCCACGGTCGGGGTGCACGCAGGTACCAACAGGACCGAGTGGCGCCGCAGGCGAGGAGGCTTGGCTGTATGAGCATGCGTGCTCCCGACCCAGGCACGCCTCAGGGAAGCCCTGCGAGGCGACACCCATCCCTGCCGCCGCACCTGCCGGCGCGCGTCGCCTTCCAGCCGGCCGATGCCGCCTCGAGGCCCGTCAGGTTTGCGATCTCCACAGCGGCCACCACCCATGACGTCATGCTGACGTTGCGCTCCGCCTGGCGCGCCGCCAGCGCCACCGCCGGCGTGATGACCAGGCCGGGGGGCCCGCCCACCACCACCGGCCGCGGGGGGCGGGGCGAGCGGGGGGGCGCAGCGCTGGGGTCCGCGTCAGGGTCGGGCTCTTGGTCGCTCTCCTCGTCGTCGGCGGGGCCGGCCAGGGATGAGGGGTCGCCTGGGAGCGGCGCTTCGTAGGTGTAGTTCAGGCGCTGCGCCGGGATGAGCTGCACGGGCGCCGAGGCCTGCGGCGGGGCGGAGAGAAGCGAGGCGCGTGCGTCGCTGCGCGTCGGCCGCCTGTACGCCCGGTGCGCAGGCGGCCACCGGCGTCGCAGGGGCCGCGAGGGCGCGGGCGAGTGCTGCCGCAAAAGGTGCCTTGGGCGACAGCGTGCCAGACATGTGCGGGCAGGTAGGATCCCGCGTACACATGACCCCTCCTGGTTGTTTGTCGCAAATTGATTGATTCATGGCATGGCGGCCGCCCCCCGCTCACATCAGGGGAGTCCAGCGAGACCGGCGACGACAGCCCACTCGTAGGGCCGCCGGCGACGGGGGCGAACATGGCTATGTTGGGGCCGTCGCTCGCCGCGCCGCCCTTTGAGGCGCCAGCAGCGCCGTCCCTGTCCTCCAGCCCTGCGGCCTGCTGCTGCCTCGCCCCCCCGCCGTCGCGGCCGTCGCTGCCGCCGTGGATGCGGCTGCGCCTGTCGTCGCCGCGGCCAGCGCTCAGGGCGTCGCCTGTCAGGTCCCCTTGGGCGCCGTTGGTGGCCCTGAGGCCCCTCAGGCTGCTCAGGTGGACGAGGGCGCCCATGGTGGCGCCAGCCGGCCCCGCCTGTTGAGGAGCGCCGGCGTGATTGGTCGGGCGCAGACATTGCAGCAGGATTGCCACAGTGGTGGTGGCAAGGACGCTTGCGGCTCTTAACATTCTTGCGGGTATGCATTGCGAACTTGCACAGCGCACGGCCGCTGGGGGCGGTGCAGCACTCGTCCTTTGACCGGGTGATTCAGCAGGGCGACAGGACAATTCACACCAGCGCAGGCGAACGCCGCACAGAATTGCCCTGGCCGCCGCCATTCGCACTTCTGAGGTGCATATTAGCTACCCCGTGACACAGCTGCACTTGCCTCCGGCAGGCCGCGCGTGGCTGCCTCGCAGCAAACATGATGCGACCCACCCGCCGCACCTGGAGCACGAGCGAGTGCGCCTCGCCAGACGGCAGCACACCAAGTCCAAGAAGGAGAAGCAGACACGCCGCCTGACCCTGTGTCACCCGCAGCTGACGCGCTGCTGCCACCGCCATCGCGAGCAGGGCGAGAGCAACGAAAGTCACACGCGCTCTTGGGTGTCACCCACCCCTTCCAGCATCGTTGCTAAGTATACTTATTTTGATCACTCTGCAGGACGGCCTGATCGCCCCTGGGCGGAGCGGTGATCGGGGCCAATCTTTCACGTCCTCCACCTTCTTGGTTATGAAGCGAGCGTGCTGTTGTATAAGGCAACGTGATGCTGACAATGAAGTCGAGCGTAAGCCTGTCAGCACTCGCTCACACAGGTCAGGGCTGGTCGGCACCGCACCCCCAGCCACCCTCTGAGTCACGCCGCGCAGGCCTCGACACCAGCTCGACACCATTTGAAGCACACCGGTCATAGCATCCATTCTTGTTTCAAGGATGATTAACCTGGATTAACTGTAAGTGACAAGGAGGTGCGTTTAGCCTGCATGTGACTACTCATTGGAGAGGGCAGAGCACTGTCTGTTTCGGTCTGGCTCGTATCATCAGGTAACGCACGTGCCCCGTCGACGCCCTCAGCCGTGAGAACCAAGCCGTTCTACCTTACACCAGACGCGGTTTGCGCTTGACAAGCTAATGCAATGGACTATTGCAATTCTGGTTTGAAAAGTGCACATCCGCAATGGGGGCACGACGCGACGCCGCGCCGTCCGCCAGCCCCACCCGAAACTGCGGCACGCTGTTCTGGCACACCCTCCCACACTGCGCGGCGCCCTCACCCCTTGCCCTTTCCCTCCGTCGCAGCCGGCGGCGGCGGCGGCGGCGCGGCGCGCGCCTCCTCCATCTTGATGGCGCTGTACCACACGATCCCCCCCATCGCCGCGGCCAGCCCCAGCAGCTTCCTGAGCCCCATCTCCTCCCCAAACACCGCCACGCCCGCCCCGACGATGAGCACCGTCTTGAGGTGCCCCACCACGTTGTACGTGAGGCTGCTGGTGGCGCCTATGAACAGGAACGTCGAGAGCGTGACCACCAGCCCCAGCGCCGAGCTGACGACGATCCACGTCAGCGACGGCAGGGAGAACTCGTACCCCAGGATGGTGCCCAGCTCGCGCCCGCCCCAGCCGACGGGCTCGACGAGAGGGATGAGCGCGGCCAGCAGGGCGACCGACAGCGGGGACACCTGCTGCAGCAGCTGCATGCCGTTGAGGCCGAGCTCTTTCTGCTTGGTGCCGGCCCACACCTGGGGCGTGCGCGTTGGGTTGTTGGTGATGGGGGCGAGCGTGAGTGGGGGTGCGCACAGGCACGGATGTGTGTCATTGTGTGTGTGTCTGTGTGTCTGTGTGTGTGTGAGTGTGTGCGCGCGCACGCACATGTTTGTGAGCACGTGCATGCGTCTATGTACGCGCTGCCGCAAGCGCCAGCGACACACCTCCTGCCAAAGCCTGGTCTGCTCAGCAACACTGCCAAGGAACGCAGCACACAGTGCTGCAGACGCCAGCCCATCACAACCGCCACACCAAAATCCGCATACAAGCCACAATGCCGGGCCAAGTTCGTTGACTCGAGCCGGATTGCTACTACTGGCCTGCCTGTATCCCCGCGCCCCCTCAACTCGCGCCCCCTTAAGCCCCCCACCTGGTACAGCGCCGTCACCAGCACCGCAGCAATTGCCACCACCATGCCTGCAGGATTGCTTGCCACCTGGACCGTGCAGGCAGAGCGATTGGGGACAGCGCTTCGTCTTTCCGTGCAAGGAACGCAGGAGTGTGCCTGGCAGATAAGAAAACGCCAAAGTTCCTCCTCCTATGCACTCCTCCTATGCGTTCGACATCCCACCTCGTCCCCGATAACCCGAGCCCGGGCGCATGCACCCCCCTCTCCCCCCTTGTGCCGCCGCCGCACCTGCGTGTCTGTGAGCGTGCAGAGTGTGATGCCCGCCATGAGGACGGCGATGGACGCCAGGACACGGCCGCTGGCCGGCTTCGAGTAGAACACCCACTCGATGGCCACCAGCACTGGCGTGATGGCCAGCTTGCTCATCTGATAAAATCCTGCAGGTTCAAGTGTGTGTGTGTGTGTATGTGTGTGTGTGTGTGCGTATGTGTGCGCGTATGCGTGTGCGCGTGCGTGTGCGCGTGCGTGTGTGTGTGTGTGTGTGTGTGTGTGTGTGTGCACGCGAGTGCGCGCGTGCACACTTTTGCCATAGTTTCCAAGATTCTCAACAATAAGGGGATGGCAAGGTGGGCTGCAGCCGCAGACTTCGCGGCCAGCGGCACAAAGCCCCGCCCTCTGCACTCAAGCCACGCCGTGCCCGAAACTCACCCAGAGGGTTGAGCTGTGTCCGCGAAGGCGGGACCAGGTTCCAGGGGGTGAGAGAGTGGAGTGAGGGCGGGCTGCCGTCAGGAATAAACGACAGCGAAGTGCAGCGCGGCCGCTTGCGCAGACGCCCCCCTCCTCCCGCCGTCACAACGCGGAGTCCCGAGTGCTGGGCGCCCCCGTCCCTGCCTGACTATCCTTCCCCTCTGTTTTCAAAGCGGCCGCGTGCTCGCCTGTATGCTCCAGTTGTTGAACACCACAAACGCGACGTACACTGCGGCCACCGGTAGCGCGCGCGTCCAGGGCACCTGCCTGGAGCATCGTCGGCAGCGGTGCGGCCGGCCTCGTCACATGGGGCGGGACGCAGCCAGCGCCGCGGGCGTGGCGGAAGCGCTCGCCCGCCAGACAGGCAACCGGCGCGCGTGCATCTACTGCAACAATTTGCACCAGTAAGACTGGTACTGCATTGAGGCACACAATGCCGCCTCTGCGGTCGAGCCATGCGGCCCGCCAGGCGGACGCTCACTTGCGCTCGAAGAACCCGCTGCGTGCCATGACGCTCATGCCCACAGCGGTGAACACCGCGTGCAGCCACGTCAGCGTCACCGGGAAGTTGAACTCGTGGGTGAACAGCGCCTTCTTGTTGGCAACGACGATCATCACGACGCTGCTGAGGTTAGTCAGCCCGTAGATAGCGGTCAACGCCAGGTGGGCCGCGCCCGCTGGCTCCGCAGGGGCGGCGGCGACGGCAGGGGCCGCGTCCGTTCCGGCACCCTGCTGTGCTCGCCGCAGGGACTGCGGCAATAGCTGCTGCTGCTGCTGCTCGAGGTCGTGGATGCCGCTCGCAGTGCGCACCGCGCCCGTCCCTCGCGCGTCGACTACAAGCACTGCGGTCTCCACATCCCGCTGCTTTTCTAGTATGCCCTTCTCATCGTCCGACCCGCTATCGCTGTGCCCGCGCTGCGCTTCCCGGACTCCTGCAGGTGCTCGGCTGCTGCCTGGCCGGGGCTGGCTCGCCCCGCCAAAGAACGCATTCATGATAGCTTCCATGACTATATGAAAGATTCCGCGTGGTTTGGCTCTACATATATCAACTTTGCGATGATCTCGTGTTCCTTATAATTGGTTGGGGCGTCCATGCACCCGGGTGCATGGAGAGCGCATAAAATTGGCACACAAAGACTGAGGAATTGAACACACCGGACACGCACTCACAAAAGGTGGAGCTGGTGGTCGGGAGTTTGGGCAGTTGCCTTGAGGGACTCGTGGACACCCACCACCTCCTCACCGTGGCCACGCACTTGTTGCGAGCTGCACCCTGCGCTCGCCGGCAAGATGGAGGTTGCCGATTCCCTTTTGAAATGCTGATGACTTTGCTGCTGACGCGGCTTGTCGACGCGCACGTAAGCCGCCTGCATTAGTTCGTCCCATACACCATTGAAGCTGATTGTGACGCTCATCCCCCGCCCCCGCCGCTGCCGCAAGTCGCTCTTCGCCGTCAACCCTGCTGTCCCCAATCCGTGAGCTTCAACGGTGGCGCGCGTTTGGCACAAGCAGGTAATTCATTACTCATCGGCGCGCCCCGCATCTGCTGGGGATGCTGCCGCCGCAGGCGCTGCGCTGATGAGTCCGCGGCCTCGCGGACTCCTCAGCCCCAGCGAGCCCCAAGGAGCCTCCTCTGCTCTGATGCAGGCCCAACCGAGGCGCTGCCGCCGTCCCAACCACTGCCAGCACGCAGCCGACGTCAAGCAAGCCAAATGGGCCACATCCCGAAGCGAGGGCCTCGGACCGCCCGCGCCCCGGCAATCGGGCTGCTGCCAGTGCTGCGCAGTGTCAGGGCCCTGCTCGGCCTGCACCTTACGACCACGCGCCCCACCCGCTGCTGCTGGCCCAGCCGCCGCGGTCCATGGCCTGCGCCACGCCCTGCGCGCCGCCAGACCCGTCCTGGCCGCGCTGCTGCACGC